GATTACAGGCTTGAGCCACCGCGCCCGGCTATAACTTCCTTTCTCTTGCCACCAAATAGATACCTCAACAAATCTGATGAAAAAACTGTGAGAAGACACCAACATAATCATTGCTGCTTTAAAAATCAAACATGGCATGTATATTCTCAAATAAGTCAAAGACAAAAATAAAGACACTTGTAGGAATGTTTATATCTGACAAAACCATCCCCTCAAATCCTTACAAATTACAAGTAGTGTCCTGATCACATTTTAAAATCACAGTGTAGAAAATATCATTGAACATCTGTAATCTCAGCACTTTGGGAGGCAGAAGCAAAAGGATTGCTTCACCCCAGGAGTTCGAGACCAGCCTGGGCAACACAGGGAGACCCCTATGTCTACAAAAAATTACAAAAAAATGGCCAGGCACAGTGGCTCACGTCTATAATCTCAGCACTTTGAGAGGCCAAGGTGGGCAGATCACCTGAGGTCAGGAGTTCGAGACCAGCCTGCCCAATCTGGTGAAATCGAGTCTCTACTAAAAATACAAAAATTAGCCAGGCATGGTGGTGTATGCCTGCAATCCCAGCTACTTGGGAGGCTGAGGCAGGAGAATTGCTTGAACCCGGGAGACAGGGGTTGCAGTGAGCCAAGATCACACCATTACACTCCAGGCTGGGCAACAAGAGCGAAACTCTATCTCAAAAAAAAAAAAAAAATTAGCCGGGCATGGCAGTGCATGCCTGTAGTTTCAGCTACTCAGGAGGCTGAGGTGGGAGAATCACTTGAGTCCAGAAGTTCAATGCTGCAGTGAGCCATATTCATACCACTGCACTCCAGCCTGGGCAACAGAGCAAGACCTTGTCTCAAAAAAAAGAAAGAAAGAAAATACCATTTAGAATCACTATGGAGTAGAATCCTGTGACAACTACCCTGATACTGTCTTAGTAGATGTACAAAATAATACAACTACCATAGAGGAAAACTGGGTAGGTAACATCTAATAAAACTGCATTTGCATTTACCCTTTCACACAGAAACCTCACTTCTGGTTACATATCCTGAGTATGTAACTCCAGAAATGCAAAACACACTTGTAAAAAATTAATCAAAAAATTGGATACAACCTATATGTTCTTTAATAGGGAACTGGTTGAATCAACTTTCATACATTCATACAATACAGTACTATGAAGAAAGGAAGGCAGAAGAGGCAGGGAGGTAAAGAAAGGAAGGAAAAAGGAAAGAAAGAAAGGAAAGGAAGGGAGGGAGAGAAAAAGGACGAAGGGAAGGAAGAAACAATGAACTGATATGGGGGGATTTCTAGGATCTACTGTTGAGTGAGAAAAGTAAGTAAACATTTATTTGTGTAAGAAAAGTAGGGAAATAGGAATATATACAGAAATATACATTTACTTGTTTTTATAAAAAGAAACACTTATTCTCTGAATAGGTGATAAATTTTAAAAAAATGAAACACTAAGAGGATAAACCAGAAAACAATGAAAATGATTAGGGAAAGAACTGAGATTTCTCTAAGTATACCTTTTAATGTGTTTTTGACTTTTGAACCATGTTTACACTACAGATTTAAAACATAAAATTAAATCCAAAAGAAAAAAAAAAGGCAAGCCCTAAAACGGAACACCAACAGGAAAAAAAAAAAATCTGTATATCAAACTGACAATGTGAGCACAGAGAAAGAAATTATCTCATATAAATTTTGAAAACTGTATTCTGCCGGGCGCGGTGGCTCAAGCCTGTAATCCCAGCACTTTGGGAGGCCGAGGCGGGTGGATCACGAGGTCAAGAGATCAAGACCATCCTGGTCAACATGGTGAAACCCCGTCTCTACTAAAAATACAAAAAATTAGCTGGGCATGGTGGTGTGTGCCTGTAATCCCAGCTACTCAGGAGGCTGAGGCAGGAGAATTGCCTGAACCCAGGAGGCGGAGGTTGCGGTGAGCCGAGATCGCGCCATTGCACTCCAGCCTGGGTAACAAGAGCGAAACTCCGTCTCAAAAAAAAAAAAAAAAAAAAAAAAAAAAAAAAAAAAAAAAAAAAAAGAAAACTGTATTCTGAGCCAGTCATGGTGGCTCACACCTGTAATTCCAGCACTTTGGAAGGCTGAGGCAGGCAGATCACCTGAAGTCGGGAGTTCGAGACCAGCCTGACCAACATGGAGAAACCCTGTCTCTACTAAAAATACAAAAATAGCTGACACATGCCTGTAATCCCAACTACTCAGGAGGCTGGAGCAGGAGAATCACTTGAACCCCGGAGGCAGAGGTTGTGGTGAGCTAAAATCATCCAATTGCATTCTAGCCTGGGCAACAAGAAAGAAACTCCGTCTCCAAAAAAAGAAAAGAAAACTGTATTCTGACTGTATATCCTTAGTGGGATATATTCAAGAAAAAAGGAATTGAAGAATATCTTAAACTTCAATAAGCAAATTTACATAGGTTTACTGTTAGTAGTAACAGTGTATTATTTTGAAATTAATTTAAGTATATTGTAGGACAGAGTAAATAATATATACAAATGCCATTAAAATCTAAAATTTGGCTGGGCACAGAGGATCATGCCTGTAATTCCAGCACTTTAGGATGCCAAAGTGGGTGGATCACTTAAGCCTAGGAGTTTGAGACCAGCCTGGGCAATATGGTAAAACCCCATCTCTACAAAAAATACAAAAATTAGCCAGGTGTGGTGGCGCTCACCTGTGGACCCAGCTACTCAAGAAGCTGAGGTGGGGTGATCGATTGGTCCCAGGAGGCAGAGGCTACTGTGAGCCCGGATTGTGCTACTGCACTCCAGCCTGGGTGATGGAAAAAAAAAAAAAAGAAAAAAAAATTGAAATTTACAGTATAAGAAAAAAAGAAATACAAAATACAAATACAAAATGAAAGAAGCCAAGAAAAAGCTCTATAGTATTAAATCTGAATTAGTGGTATTAATATGAACTTACAATTACTTTAAAATTTTTTTTAATCTATGTCTTTGCCCTCAAGGAGCCTAGAAGCAATGACACACCAGAAACAATGAGTATTCCTAGTGTCACTCAGAAACCAAGGTTCCCTGGAGAAAGAATTACTCCAGATCTAGGCCAGCATGAGTACAAAGCGAGCTGGGAACATTTTATACCAGAAAGGAAACACTCAAAGAAAATATAGTCCTGTCAAAAAGATGCAGAAGCCGCTTAACAAGGGCTATCACTGGCCAAATCTGGGATGATTTAAATATCAATTTTGTTTGTTTGTTTGTGACAGGGTCTCACTCTGTCACCCAGGCTGGAGTACAGTGGCACAATCTGGGCTCAGTGCAGCCTCTGCCTCCTGCGCTCAAGCCATCCTACCACCTCAGCCTCCGAGTGGCTGGGACCACAGGACCGTGCTGTCATACCCAGCTAATTTTTTGTATTTTTGACAGAGATGGGGTTTCACCAACATTGCCCAGGCAAATTCAACATTAAAAACAAAACTAACACTTTGAAAAAATTAAAATCCATGAGTTTATATTAATATTCATTTTTAAAGAGAGAGAGAGAATGAGACAAAGAAAAGCTATTATCCAGAGAAGAAAGTCAGCTAATAAAGGCTGAATGACAAAATTAGAAAATCGTTGTTTTTAATACCCAATGTAATTATAGATTCCAGCAGGATTATCAATGGATGCTAAAACCATTATTAGGTAATCACTCCACAGGTTATTTACTAATTGCAAAGGGAAAAAAAAAAAATGTACCTTTATAACTGAAAGATCTGACAGTTAGCAAAATTACCGTCATGAAGGTGAGAAAATGGAACAATCTGTGCCTCCTCATGTGAGGCAATGGGATACACACAAACTTCACCTATGAAGTATCTTTGCCAAAAATGCTTCATCTGAATCTAATTAAGACTCTAGACCTAGCTTCTAGTTTACAGGAACTACATGGAAGGTGATACAAGCACACATTAAATAACTTGAGAAAACAATAATTTAGAATGTGGACATTCTACAACACAGTTAACTTGATGCTTCAACAAATCAATGACATGAAGAAAAAGCATGAGTGTGCAGATTAAAAGTGTCATAATAATCAAAAGCAGCACAGAAACTTTGATTGGCACATGTTGAAAAAAAGTATGAAATACATTTTTAGGACAGCTGGGGAATTTGAATATGTACTGAACGTTAGATGATACGAAATTCTTATTAGTTTCTTAGATGTGATAAGAGTACTATGGTTCTTAAGAGAATATTTTTATTATTAGGATATGCAAACTTAAGTACTTAGGAAGAAAGTATGGTGTCTGCAATTACTTTTAGTGATTCAGCCAAAAAAAGTTTGAACATATATAGAGAGCGATAAAGCTAATATGGCAAAATGATAACATTTGTTGGCATGTGAGGGGAGCGGAGGAACAAAAAAAATCACCATCCCCAAAGATACGATGAGCTAAAAGAACATCCAGAAAGGGAGCCAGGCTTAGACAAATAGGCTTACATGAAAATCTGAGGTCTTAAGCATCTTACAATACATAGAGAAACAACAAAAGGACTGCTCAAGTAAAATGGAAATTGACCTTAACTGTGTATACATGACAAATCCCTAGGAAAAGATGCAGTGTTGGGAGAGATAAAACCAGACTGAGTCAGATGGGCTGATAAAAGTAGAGAACAAAAGTAGTAACAGGAAGAATTTTAGGAAAAATGATAAAGCAGGAACATAGCAAGACTTCATCTCTACAAAAAATTAAAACCTAGCCAGGTGTGGTGGCATGCGCTTGTGGTCCAAGCTACTCAGGTGGCTCAGTAGGAGGATCACTTGAGCCCAGTGAGCTGTGATCATACCACCACACTCCAGCCTGGGTAGGACTCTTGTCTCAAAAAAAAATAAAAAATTATAGATGCTGATGAGGATGTGAAGAAAAGGGAACTCTTATACACTGTTGGTGGGAATGTAAATTAGTATAGCCATTATGGAAAGCAGTATGAAAATTTCTCAAAAAATTAAAAATAGAACTACCATAAAATATAGCAATCCCACTACTGGATATTTATTCAAAGGGAAGAAAATCAGTTTTCAAAGGAATACCTGTATCCCCATGTTTACTGCAGCACTATTCACAATAGCAAAGATATGGAATCAATGGTTGAATGATAAAGAAAATGTGATGTATATACACAATGAAACACTATTCTGCCATAAAAAAGAATGAAATCCTGTCATTTGCAGCAACATGGATGGAACTGGAGGTTATTATGTTAAGTGAAATAAACCAGGCACAGAAAGACAAATATCACATGTTCTCACTCATATGTGGGTGCTAAAAGTGGATCTCAGGCAAGGAGTGGTGGCTCACGCCTATAATCCCAGTACTTTGGAAGGCCAAGGTGGGCGGATCATTTGAGGTCAGGGGTTCAAGACTACCCTGGCCAACATGGTGAAACCCTGTTTCTACCAAAAATACAAAAATTAGTCCAGGGTAGTGGCACATGCCTGTAATCCCAGCTACTCAAGACGCTAAGGCAGGAGAATTGCTTGAACCCGGGAGACGGAGACTGCAGTAAGCCGAGATCTCACCACTGCACTCCAGCCTGGATAACAAGAATAAAAACTCTATCTAAAAAAAAAAGAATGGATCTCATGGTGAGGGAAAAAAAGAAAAGAAAAAGAAATTGATCTCATGGAGGTAGGGAGTAGAAAAATAGTTACCAGATGCTGGGATAAGTGTTAGGCGTGAGGGTAAAGAGCGGTTGGTCAATGGGTACAAATATATAGTGAGATAGGAGAAATACATCTCTAACACTCAATAGCAAAGCAAGGTAACTATAGCTAACAACAACGTATGGTATATTTCAAAATAACTGGAAGAGGGGACTTGAAATGTTCCCAACACATAGAAATGACAACTATTCAAGGTGATGGGTATTCTACATACCCTGTGATCATTGCACATTTAATGCGGGTAACAAATATCACATGTACCCCATAAATATGTGCAAATATAATATGTCAATAAAAGTTGGCCAAACAATCATATGCTGAGGTTGCTAAGATCCTCTATAAGAATAAATCCTCTATCTGTGAAATTGTGAAAAAGAAAAAAGAAATCCGTACATAGTATACATACAGGATTTGGTACTAGCCACAGTTTCGGGCATGTACTTGGGGCTTGGAAACATCCCCCATGGATAAGAGGGAACTACCGTATAATGAAAACTATAAAATACTGCTGAAAGGAATTAGAGAAAACATAAATAAATGAAAAGAAATCCCATGTTCATTATTGGATAAGATTGCGAAGATGTCAATACTACCCATGGCAATCTACGAATTCAACCTATCAACCTTAGAAAAACATCAAAATCTCAATGAAGTCTTTTGCAGCAGAGATAGAAAATCCATCCTAAAATTCATATGGAATCTCAAGGCATCCTGAATAGCCAAAACAATGTTAAAAATGAAGAACCAACTTGGAGGACTCAAACTTGCTGATTTCAAAATTTACTACAACACTACTAATCACAACAGCAAGGTATTGGTATAAAGTCAGATAAGTAGACCAACGGAATAGACTAGAAAGCTAAAAATAAACCCTTACATATATATTCAAATGTTTTTCAATAAGAGGACCAAGACCAAAGGAGAAAGGACAGTTTCTTCAACAAATGGTGCTGGGAAAACCATCTAACCACGAATGAGGTTGGACCCTTAACCTAACACCAGAAACAAAAATTAACTCAAAATAGGTCAAAGACATAAATGCAAGACCTAACACTATAAAACTTTTGGAAGAAAACATAAAGCAAAAGCTTCATGACAATGGATTTGGCAGCGATTTCTTGGATATGACACCAAAGGCACAAGCAACAAGAGAAAAAATAGACAAATTAGGCTTCAAGAAAATTTTTTTAATTTACACATCAAAACACACTATCAACAGAGTAAAAAGGTAACCCATAGAATAGGAGAACATATTTGTCCATACAGCTAATAAAAGATGGTATCTATAATATAAAGAGATGTCCATCAACTGATGAACAGATAAGCAAAATGTGGTATATACACACAGTGGAATACTACGCAACCTTAAAAAGGAAGGAAATCCTGTCACATGCTACTGTGTGGATCAACCTTGAGCACACTATGCTAAGTATAAATAAGGCAGGCACAGAAAGACAAATACTATATGAGTCCACTTACATGAGGTACCTAGAATAGTTAAATTCATAGAAACAGAAAGTGGAATGGTGGTTGCCAAGGCTGGGAGGAGGGTTACGGGCAGTTGCTACTTAATGGGTATAGAGCTTCAATTTTACAAGATGAAAAGAGTTCTGGAAATGGATGGTGATAATGGTTGCACAACAATGTGAATGTACTTAATGCCATAGAACTATACACTTAAAAATGGCTAAGATGGTAAATTTTAAATTATTTTACTGCAAGAAAAAAAGAAACCAGAACTGGATGATCTTGAAAACTTTCAGCGTCTCCAGATGGCAAAAGATGCTGAAATTGCCACACGCCTGTAATCCCAGCACTTTGGGAGGCTGAGGCAGGAGGACTGATAAATGAAATGTTTCAAGACCAGCCTGGGCAACATGGTGAAACCCTGTCTCTACAAAAAATACAAAAATCAGCCAGACATGACAGCACACACCTGTGGTTCCAGCTACTGGGGAGGCCGAGGTGGGAGGATCACCTGAGCCCAGGAGGTTGAGGCTACAGCTAGCCAAGATTGCACCACTGCACTCCAGCCTGTGTGACAGTGAGACCTTTTCTCAAAAATAATAATAATAATAATAAATGCTAAAATTAAGAGATTCACTATCAGGAACTATACACGAAAGAAAAGGTCAAGGGTGTGACTGTGCTACATTTTGCTTAGAAACATCAAAAGGTCACAGTATTCAGTCATACAAAGGGCCCTTTCAGGAGAGTAAGAGCATACCTCACAGATCCTCTCAAATCAGAAAGCCTTTAGGAAGCTTAAAGGTACTGTCCCTAAGGTTTCTCAGCAGGTGATCAAGGTAGGGAAAGATTTATCTTCAAAAGATTTGTACATGTGGCCTTTGTCTAATGGATGAATTCCACTGAAATCCACAGAAGACCTACAAAGTTCTTAAGAAAATATGTTAGTAGAAACACAGCCTGTCTGGATTGAAAGGGCCAAAGAGTACAAAATGATCCCCAAAATTCTACTGGCAGTATGCATACAGGATAAAACGACTCAGCTGCCACATGTGTTCCCTTTGTAAAAAAGGAAGAAAGGCTCCGAGAGTGAAACCAGTTACCCAGAGGACCCAGTCCTACTCAGCCGCCTATTTCTATTCCTCTCCACCGTAGTAGTTGTTCCCTGGGGTTTTGCTACTGTCCATTCTGGTTTGCAATTCCATTCAGGACCTTTTTCTTATTTAGTCATCTTTATAGCCCCACTTAGGATCCCACCTTGCTCCTTTTTCTTTGTCCTGTTACCAACCAAATGCCATTCCTTACCTACCTTAAAAAGTTTCTGGGAGTGTTTAATCATAAAAGCCATCCCACTGTTTAACTTTGTGATATTCTCCTGAAGGTCATTTGCAGTGACCTATTCAGAGAAAAAGAAACCAAACAACGGGCATTAAGAGCTGGAAAGTAGTATTTACCAATATACTTACTCTTTCTTTCTTTTTTTTTTTTTGATTTTTTTTTTTTAAGGTGGGGTTTCACCATGATGGCCAGGCTGGTCTTGAACTCCTGACCTCAGGTGATCCACCCACCTTGGCCTCCCAAAGTGCTAGGATTATAGGTATGAGCCGCAGCGCCCGGCCCGCTTACTCTTTCAAATATATGAAGTTTCTATCCCTAACAAAGCTGCCTCTGATACCATGCTTAATTCTGGAAAGACTTTTTGGTTCAGCAAGATATAACATAATCTAGAACAATAAATATGTCCCTAAAGTGATGAGGAAATCCTTGAAAACCAATTTTCATTTCCTAATTCTGCTTAAAAATTAGACATGTAAGCAAAACTGGCAAAGAAAATCTAGTCTCTGATTCAAAATGAGCAGAAGGGACAGAATCTGTTCCACCATCAAGGACAGCACTGCCACTTTAGAAAACTAGAGTTTCTCCAAAGACAAAAGAGAACTGTCACTACCTATACCAAAGGTGACATCTGTTTCTTTTTTTTTTTTTTGAGATGGAGTCTCACTTTGTCCCAGGCTGGAATGCAGTGGCACGATCTTGGACCACTGCATCCTCTGCCTCCCGGGTTCAAGCGATTCTCCTGCCTCAACCTCCCGAGTTGCTGGGATTACAGGTGCACATGACCATACCTGCCTAATTTTTGTATTTTTAGTAGAGTCGACGTTTTACCATGTTGGCTTGTCTCAAACTCCTGACCTCGTGATCCACCCACCTCAGCCTCCCAAAGTGCTGGGATCACAAGCATGAGCCACCGCACCCAGCCTGACATCTGTTTCTTAAAAACACATCAAAATTGTCATTGATTCCCTTCTTTTGTTTCTCCTGTCTTTTTTTAAGTACTTCAGTATCGCTATTATCCAAAACCCCTGATTTTTAACATATATCTTTGTTACTTTATCTCTTTGCTTTTAAATATTCTTTTTTTTTTTTTTTTTAGAGATAGGGTCTTGCTTTGTCACCCAGGTTGGAGTACAGTGGTGCAATCTTAACTCACTGTAGCCACAAGCTCCTTGGCTCAAGCGATCCTCCCACCTCAGACTCCCAAGTAGCTAGCACTATAGGCATGTGCCATCACATCCAGCATATTTTTCCTTTCCTTTTGTAGAGATAAGGTCTCAAGGTCTTGCTGTGTTGCCCAGGCTGGTCTCAACATCCTGGCCTCAAGCAATTCTCCTACCTCAGCCTCCCAAAGTGCTGGGATTACAGGTAAGCCACCACTTCTTTTTATAACCACAGTTTACTCATTGCTTTTCTACAGTCGTGGTTAGCTCATTCTAAAATTCCTTCATTATAAGGCTTGATCTCCTTAACATGGACAAATGTTAATGTGTCCTCTGCTCCCCTACTCACCCCCAGAGGCTCTTCCTGGTCCAGAACTTATTTATTTTTTCACTAGTTATTTGTTAAGTAAAATGTTTCACACAATCTCTCTCCTTTACCTTCCTTTTCTCATTTCTTAAAATCTCAAAAATTTTTTATGAATTACTATAACCTATTTCTGTTATCTTCCCAACAACCTTGTGGGGTAAGCAGTAAAGCTATTACAGAAAGTCCTCACTTGAGGCATTAATAAGTTCTTGGAAAGTCTAAGTTTAAATGAACCAACATATAGCAGGTCCTCAAATAACATCATTTTCTTCAACGATGTTATATCTTTTCATTATAACATTGATGAGAAAAATGATTTGTTTTGTTCTAAGTCATTTTGATTAAAGTTGTAGTTTCCAAGAACCTATCAACGATGTTAATAGGTTAAAGACTTACTGTATTATGCCCAGTTACAGACAAGAAGCCTACACACAGAAAAGGGAAAAGACTATACAAACAAAAAATGGCTTGTAGACAGTTGCTTTAAAAAAGAAAGTAAAAGGCCAGGCGTGATGGCTCATGCCTGTAATCCCAGCACTTTGGGAGGCAGAGGCAGGTGGATCACCTGAGATCAGGAGTTTGAGACCAGCCTAGCCAACATAGTGAAAACCCATCTCTACCTAAAAATACAAAAATACAAATATTAGCCAGGCATAGTGGCACAAGCCTATAATCCCTGATAGTTAGGAGGCTGAGGCAGGAGAATTGTTTGAACCTGGGAGTCAGAGGTTGCAGTGAGCCGAGACTGCACTACTGCACTCCAGCCTGAGCAACAGAGTAAGACTTAGTCTCAAAAAAAAAAAAAAAGAGAGAAAAGACATAGGTAACATTGCTGGTATGTGGCTTCGAATCCACCTACCCTGGCTCACAACTCAGATTATAAATGGGCAGGAATATGATCTATGTACTCCCAGGTCAACAATTTGTTTAAAAGACTTTAGATGAGGCTGCAGTGAGCAGTGATTGTGTTACTCCCCTCCAGCCTGGGCAACAGAATGAGACCCTGTCTCAAAAAACAACAGAAAAAAATACTTCAAAGAATTTTATTTCTCTGTGTTTTTATCCGTCAGACATTAAAAAAAGAGAGAGTGAATTTATTTCTCATGTAAGTCACTGAGAAAACCATGGTCTCCATAATAAGAATAAAGTTCAGCTTTATCCAAAGAGACTACATATCTATAGGAAATAGAAAAGTTAGGACAAGACAGGATTGTTCTAAGTGCCATCTCATCTATAAATCTATAAGCTTGGTGACATCATCCCACAAGATCATACAGCTCCATCCTAATTTTATACTATTCGATCTTCAGAAACGAATGTGATTTCCCAAGAAGCCTTTCCTGTTAAGAAGTATTACCATACTGACCAGCCAAAATGAGTATTCTTGTTTATTCAGCAGCTATAATTTCCCACTAAGAGTTGCCACTAATACCATGCCATACAGGTTTACCAGAGATTGATTTATAAGTGAAGTTAACAGGAATTGGCCCTCTCAGGTCTGATGACTCTCAATGAACTAATAAAGTAACTTCCCAACCTCATAAAGCTGAAGGCTAGACCTTGGCCCCTTGATAATCTCACCATGTTATAGCCACAGAATAAGGCCCAGCCCAAGAAAATTCAAGCAATCTTTACTCTTCCTGTCAACACTCACATTTTTTGGCCACAGAACATGGGGTGCAAACATAAGGGCAAGGTTATAGGCTGACATCTTATTCTTGTCTTGTTTCTTTGCTGTCTGGTATAGGAGATCAAGCAATAACTTCAGCAAATTCCGATTGGGAGGAGGGAGAATGAGGAAGAGTAACTGGAGAGCCTCAATTTGCCGGTCCTTGTCTGGTATATTGGTTTTGTTTCCTTTATCATCAAACTGCATCAAATCTTGAGGACGAAAGAGAATTTGCAAAACAGGGAGAAAATATCAGCAAGAAAAATCAACGCTATCGCCACTATCCTCCCCTCAACTCCCATTTAAGAAAGGAGAAAAAAGGTTCAGGCAGAAACACAATTCAAACATTACAGTAAAACATAACAAAATAATGTCAATACAATTCAACAATAAAAAAGCCAAAAAATTTTGTTAATGTGTATAGGATTTGAATAGACATTCTTTCAAAGAAGGTATACAAGTGGCCAATAAGGCTTTGTATGCTCAGTATCATTAGCCATCAAGAAACTATAAATCAAGCCGGGCGCGGTGGCTCACGCCTGTAATCCCAGCACTTTGGGAGGCTGAGGTGGGTGGATCACCTGAGGTTAGGAATTTGAGACCAGCCTGACCAATATGGTGAAAACCCATCTCAAAAAAGAAAGAAACTATAAATCAAAACCACAATGACATACTACTTCATACCCACTACGATGGCTATAACTACAAACAGAGTGACAATAAAAAATGCCGGCAAGACCGGGCGCGGTGGCTCACGCCTGTAATCCCAGCACTTTGGGAGGCCGAGGCGGGTGGATCACGAGGTCAAGAGATCGAGACCATCCTGGTCAACATGGTGAAACCCCGTCT